CCCTCAGGGCTTTTACGGGACTGCGAATCGGGTCTCTCTTTTTGTCACGATCGCTTTTCAACCGTTTGAATCATGAAGCGGTGAGCAACGGGAATGGTTATATTAGGGGGGGGGGTAAAGTGGGATTGAAACGAAGGTGATAACATAAGGTGAGGGGGGGGAAGAGGAAGGGGATGGAGAACAGAAACATGAATTTGGAGAGCAGGGAAGAGATGATAATATTAGCTGCTGATAGGGGTAAAAAAGTGGTATTGAAGGGCGGGGTAGAGGTAATAGTATAAAAAAGTGGGCAGGGGGGTGGAGAGAAGAAAAATGATGATGTAGGACGGGGTAGATCTTAAAAATTTTCATTTTTAAAAGTATTACACAAAACAATGACAGAAAAAATACGATTTAGAGAAGTTTTGACTTGGCAGGAGTAAAAATCATGTTTGGAGTTGATTAATTCGACCATTAAAATCCAGAAAATAACGTCATAATAAGTCCTTATCTACAATACTAAGGTAAAAAACAAAAATTATCAAAAAATACACCTATACTAATTAAAAAAGCCAACGGAAATACGCGTAAAACCAACAAATGAGGAAATATCATTGATCAAGAGAGACGATAGACAAGAAAAGTTAAAATTAGAGATAGAAATACAAAAAAAGGTGAATGATTGTACAAGACGTTGAGGCAAATAATGGAATTATTGGAACGTTTTACATTTTGAACGTTCATTTTAATGCTATTTCTTGGGCTACGGGTTCGTGGAGATATGTGGGGGGGTGAAAAGTTTCAGAAAAAAGGGTGGATACTTAATTTTTTAACTGTGGCAAGGACAGTGAAGGTAAAATACGTTATTTTTTTTCAGCCCGCGTTTTATAGTGGGCGAGGTAAAATTATTTGGGGGGGGGGTTTTTCAATTTTTTTTAAAAAAAATGTAATATAAACTTTGAAATTGATAAAAATAACTTTGAACTATAAAATACGGTCCATAAACTTTGAAATCGCTTAAAAAAATTTTGAAATGTAAAATACGAACTGCGTTGCACTTGTATCAAAGTTTCAATCCTCAAGTCAAATTGAAAAAAAGCTAAATAATTTAAATTGATAGCTCAAAGATTGTTGTTTTTTGTTGTTTGTCACTTTCTTTGATGATTAAAACGCTGACAGGAACATGAAAACGTCAATTTTTTTTGTTTGCTTTTTATCATGATATTTTGCTAAATTTTTTTTGAAATACGACATTCAGCACGTCGCTACAGATTTTCTCCTGAGGAGGTGGGGTGGATGTTACAAACATTTTTTTTGGTTTAGAGCTCTGCACTCATTTATACGAAAAAAAGATTTTTTATTAACAAAAGTTATCTAGCCGTATTTTACATTTAATTTTCTACCGAATGTTACATTTAAACTGCTTTTGAAAAACTTTGAAAAAGCGGGTAATTTTTTAAGTAGTAACACCTATACCTTTTCTTCTATCATCAGTAATACGTAAATCTCTAGTTTTGTTGTTTTTTTTTACTGTGACCTCAATTTATAAATAAAGAAAAGAAGAAGAACCAGGTATCAATATCCGCCGGAAATCATGTAAAATCGCAAATCATTTAATGAAACAACAAAATAATTTTTTTTAGATTTTTTTTCTTAATTTGTAAAAAAAGAGCTTTTTGTTTGTAAAATACGAATTCCAATTGTCTGAATTACTATAAATAAAAATAGTTTTATTATAATTAGAATTGACTGTAAAGTAGGTTAGGGTAGGGTAAAAGTGAGAGTAGGTCAGGGGCCTGACTTGTACAATATAAGGTACAGATAAGTATGAATAACTTCTAGTTAAATATAGTTGGGACAAGGTCGGTTATGGAGGGCTTGTGCACGGTTGAGATAAGGAAAGGATGGATTAAAGGAGGGACCAAAATGAGTAAGGTGGAGTTGGGCTAGGGTATCAGTAGAACAGAGATAAATAGATATACATAATGATTTTAGGTAGGGTAGGGTAGGGTACGGTAGGGTAGGGTACGGTAGGGTAGGGTACGGTAGGGTAGGATAGCTACAATTTTTTCAAAAACCCCCGCCGTACCCTCTCTTTCTCCAATCAAATCAATATTAATAAGTACAAATTAACTTTTCACCTTCACCTCCGCGCACTTGAAGGCTTTCTCGAAGTGATTGAGATGCCTCTCGTTTCTGTTTTGTCGCCCTCCCACCGATCTTCTCCTTCTTCATTTCCAAATCCGCGCTCCATTTTCGCTTTTTTCGCGATTTTGAAATGAAGCCAAGGGTGGAGGTGACTACAGCGTGAACTTTTGGGGATTGCTTGAGCTGGTTTTGGGTTAGGCAGGGTATTTTTTGGCTAGGGTTTGTGATTTTTAGGGGTTTAGAGGGTTGAACCACAAATGTTTTAGATTTTGAGTTTGTTTTAATACCTAAAATTACGTTTTTTGGGCGTTTTTCATTTGAAGTGAGGACTTGATGACATTTTTCATTAGGAATGAGGATGTTATGACATTTTTCATAAAAGATGAGAATTTGATGACATTTTTCATTAGAAATGAGGATTTTATGACATTTGATGACATGTTATAAAACTTTTTTATTTTTACCGCGCCTCATGCAACCCTATTATAAATCTCGTCATCTTTAGCCAACCAAAGCCTAATAAGCCAAATATGACAGTATGAGTTCGAATCGTCCATTAAATCTAGTACTAAACGTACTGGCCTTCGTACTAAGTGCTATAGCTTCATTTTTTGGCCGTTTAAAAGACTTAATTTGCTGTTGTAATCGAAAAAAGGACCAAGAGTACCAGTTTGTTTATGATGAATATCCGGAACTTATTGGTTGTCCCAGCTCTCTGGCTGATGGGCTGACATTGGACGCAGATGGCAGGTTAATATTGGGTGGTTTTAATCAGAATTCAAAGCGGTATTCAAATTTAAAATCGAATTTTGAAAGAAATTTAAATTTGAAGAGATATTCAAATTTAAATTTTCACAAAAGTTCTAATTCGACCCCCAATTTCGACCAAAACTGCCTTGTCGACCTTGAATACCCACCGTTCCTAGCCAAAAAAGGCGGTTGGAAATACGGCAATTTCCTTGAAAACCGCCTCAAAAGCCCCATTAGGGTGGTGTTATTGAAGGGCTTTCGAAGACCCGATGATCCTGAACTTGAATCGGCTAGTTTGTTGATCCGAAGCGGTTCAGTCAACTCCGTGCCGGCAATTACTCAATTTGATGGTAAGAAGCTGTGAATCTAAAAGGAGGCTTGATGGGGCTTGTAGAGGGGGTTTTGGGGGGGGAGAGGGTGGTATTTGGACCGGGGATGGTGTTTGGACTAAGAGTCATGGACTTCGCTTGTGTGGGGATGAAAGGAGGGCGGTAGATTCTCCCAGAACTAAAACTTTACAAACTTTTTAAGGCTAGGGTGGGTAAAAGTTTTTTTTTACTTGGGCATGTGCAGAACGAATTCATTTGACTTGAATTTTTAAAAAGGCTCAGGATTGGCGGGCATTTAAACAGAAGTCTTAAATTTAATTTTGGGTATAGTCTAGCCTTGAAAGAGAATCTAATAGGTCCGGGTCGGTCCGAGCCGAAGAAACTTAGAAAGCGATCGGACCAAGACACGTAGGATCAAGGGCTGGGGTCTAAACGAAGGTCCGGCTTAGCCTTTTATATTTTTTGGATGTGGGCATGGGTTTTTAGGGTCGTTTTTTTTGGCTTACAATTTTTTTTGTCTTTTCTTTGAATTAAATATAAATTTTCTAAAAGAAGTATTATATTACACTTGGCTCAATATGAAGAGCTTCTGGTCACTTTTTTAAAACTTTTTTTAAATTTTCAAGAAATTGATACAGTAGAACTTCTTATAACGAATCTCTTGGGTATTTTGACTCTGTTTGTTATAAAGGAGTTTTGTTGTACAAGAGTTTAGGTTTTAAAAATTTCAATTTTGATCATTTTGTAATGCTTTTTTAGTCATGCCCTACCTTTATACAGTACTCTCTCGATATAAGCAACCCGAAGGGACCGACACTTTGTGTTTGCTATAAGAGGTGCTGCCTTTACAGTAAGGCTTTTTATTGCAAATTGCATTTTCGGGACCAAATTTCTTGTTTACTATAAGGAGAGTTGCTTATACAGATGGTTCACTGTATATAGAGACCACTGTAACCCCTAATCTACCCCGTCTACCCTCCAAACTCTTTATTCTCTTTAGCGTAACCTAAAACCTCACTTTTTCGGGTTTCGAACGCCAAAATATGTGTTTCTAATTGATTGAAAGTCGAATTGCGTCGAATTGTTTGCACTGACTCTTCTCTTATTTCGGGGCCTAAGGCGATGAAGCCGATCGGCTAAAACTTTGAATTTAATGAGTTTTATTGCTATTTGGTTAGAGGTAGGGGGGGGAGTAGGAGATGGGAAAGTCAACAAAATTTAATTTGTTTTAACTTTTTTTTTAAATTTACGTGAATATTTTTTAAAAAATTGAAAATTTTTGTTGTTTTTGATACTGTAAAGAAAGCTTTAACCATTTTTCGTTTTGTAAAGAAAGTTCTCGCCGTTTTTCGTTTTGTAAAGAAAGTTCTTGCCATTTTTTGTATTGTAAAGAAAGTCCTTGCCATTTGTTGTTTTGTAAAGAAAGTTCTTGCCATTTTTTGTTTTGTAAAGAAAGTTTTTGCTATTTTTAGTATTGTAAAGAAATTTTTTGCAATTTTTTGTTTTGTAATGGAATTTCTTGCAAAATGTAAAATACGGCGCAGTTTTGAAATTTTAAAATCTTATTTTGTTGACTTTTACCCACGACTACTTTCAGTTGTACTATTCTTTTTCAATCTTATGGATATTACCTATACCTACATGACTATGTACTTATAAAAATAGTCTTTGTTGGACTAGAATTGTCTAGATATTGGACTAAACATAGTTTCTTTGAACAATTGGTTTCTATTAGTTAATTGAAAAAGCTGTAGCTTTTACTACAGTAACATAGTACTTATTTTATTGAAAGCAATGGTTCTAATGAGACCTATCATAGAAGATCAGGTTTGGTTAACTGATTCTGAAAGTGGTTAGTCTTAAAATTTGGGTTGAAATTCATTTTTTAGTAGTAGGGGGGGGGGGATAGAGGAGAGAGGTTTTAAATTTCAAAATTCAAAAAAACTTTTTTAAATTGAGATGTGAAATTTAAAGTTTAAAAATGGGATTTGAAATTTTAAAACTAGCTTAAGGGGCATTGAAACAACATGTTTTGCCAATTAAAATCTTTATTTTTCAGAGAATGGCGATTTGGACGGAACTGAAAGTTTGGACAGATTTCATTGGAATCAGAAGAGCTTAAGGGCCAGCCAAAAACGGGCTAGCCAAATGCCAAAGCCAACTATTGTTAATGCTTATAAGTCTGTAAGTTTTTTATGCTTAGGATGTTGTTTTTCAACTTTTTTTTTTATTTTTTGGAGAGGGACGAGAATTTTTGTATCAAGAATTGCGCTTTTCCCTACTCTATCCTATTATACTCCAATTTATTGGACTCTTCCCTTCTCTATCTTACGCAATAATTGGAATGAACAATAACTTACTTTGCCATTAAAACAGTGTTTTTATGTAAAATACGTAGTCAATCAAAAGTTATTTGAAAGTTTGAACTTTTGAATAGGTCTAGAAGATTGTATGGACAATTGTTAACCATAGTTGTTTTTTGAAAAATATAAGGGAAGAACAAGTTTTGCAAAAATATATGTCTGTAAAAACAAAAAATAACATCTATAATTTTTAAAAATTAGTTTTTAACACTGTAGCAGACTACATGACGTTTTTCATTAGAAACGAGCAGTTTGTGAAATTATTTATTAAAAATTAGAATTTTGTGATATTTTTCATTACAAATGAGGGTTTTATGAAATTTTTCAATAGGAATGAAGATTTTATCACATTTCTCATTGGAAATGATTTTATAACATTTTTCAATAGAAATGAGCATCTTTCTTAAAGCTGTATTAAGGAACATATGACAGGTTGGTTACCAAAAAAAGTAAAAGCATTTGTAAATATTTGCTTTTCTTCTTATGACAGTTTACTTCACCTACATTTATGGAGTATTATGGAGAAATTATTTAGTAACTCGTTAGGTTCTATGCATAATAGTAAGCGTTTTTACATTTCTGTTATAAAATGTCATAAAAATGAAAAAGGTTTAGAAAATGTCATCAAATGTCATAAAATACTCATTTGTAATAAAAAATGTCATAAATCCTTTATTTTTAGTAAAAATTGTCATAGAATCCTCATTTTAATGAAAAATGTCATCAAATCCTCAATTCTAATGAAAAATGTCAACAAATCCTCATTTTTTAATAAAAAATGTCATAAAATCTTCATTTCTAATGAAAAATGTCATCAAATCCTCATTTTTAATGAAAAACGTCACAAAATTGTCATTTTTAATAAAAAATTTTATAAAGTATTTAGACTTCAAAAAAAACGTATTTTACAATAACTTTTTTTCCTATAATTTCTCTCTATTTTTACGAAACGTAAAACTTCTATGCACATGTTTACTGATAACAAATAAAAATTTATGGGAAACGGGCCTAATTAATTAACTTTACGAGCGAATTTTTAACTATTTTGATATCGAAAACATATGAAATGGGAAGGAAATTCTTCGTTCTGTTGCAAAATGTCACAAATTTTTGGGGGATAATGTCATATGGCATAAAAAACTATTTTTTTGATAAAAATTTAAAAAACAATTTTTTTTCGTTTTTATGGTTTTTCATTAGGAATGAGGATTTTATGACATTTGTCATTAGAAATGAGGATTTTTTGACATTTTTCATTAGAAATGAGGATTTTGATGACATTTTTTATTAGAAATGAGAATTCTATGAGATTTTTCCTTCTAAAATGTCATCCAGAACAACTTCCCTCTCTGCAACGTATTTTACAATATATTGTTATAGCCAATTATACACTTTATCTAGTTGATTGTTAGTTTTCGAGACGTTCCCAGTCCAAATAAATGAATGACTGGCCAGCCGGCCAGTGAAAAGTGGACACTCATTCATTTACCTTTTAGTTTTTTGCTGAAGCAAGTGTCATTCTAACTTATTGACATCTGCAAAACCCATTTTTCTTTTTGCTTCTGGGCATTTTTTACATTTTTCGGGGGATTTTTGATGATTTTTTTTGTTTTGTAAAGAAAGTTTTTGCGGTTTTTGGAAAAATGTGTTATGTAAAGAAAGTTCTTACGGTATTAAAAAAAAAGCTTTGGAAAGAAAGTTCTTGCGATTTTTGTAAAAATGAGTTTTGTAAAGAAAGTTCTTGCAGTTTTACGTTAAAATCTAAAATTTCAACTTCTTTGAAATCAAATAACAACAAAAAATGGTCAAGTCTGATCAAACCCTACGGCTTTTTGAAACGTTTTCCGATCCCTCGAGGCTGTTAAACCTCAAAAATTCCCGTTGGTCATTCCGGACAGAAAACTTTATGAAACACGCTTAAAGTGTGGGCGATTAATCATATTTTATATAACCAAACGTATACTTGTTTGATTAATCACTTTTCAGTATGGTTTTGGTAAATTTTCAATTTGACTTAATTTTTTTTTGTAAAATACGGTTCGGACTTGGTCGAATTTAAAGTAGGTAAGATCTTGAGCAGGACGTATAATGTGATCTAGAGTCATGTAGTGTATGCTATATTTACGGTATGTTAAGATGGGATAGAGTAGAGTAAGGTAGGATGGTATATGGTAAAGAGTAGGGCTAGGCAGGGACGTCGTTTGGGGGGGGTGGTTCGAGGTGACTCCCCCCCCCCAGAGCCGATCCGAAAAAAAATCCACAGGTAGGTACCTGTACGCGGAAAAACGAAAAAAAAATTTTTTCGACTTCCCCCCTCCCCCAGAGAAAAACCGTAGCGACGTCCCTGGGGCTAGGAGCTGAAAATAAGGTAAGAATGGGTACGGTGTGGTAAAAATGAGTAGGGCCGGTTAGGCTAGGATATGGTCGGGTTATCTACGAGAAATTTATGTATAGTAAGTTAGGAAAGTGTATGCTGGGATGGCTATTGTATTGCTGGGTAGGGTAGGGTAGGGTAGGGTAGGGTAGGGTAGGGTAGGGTACGGTAGAGTAGGGTAGGGTAGGGTAGGGTAGGGTAGGGTAGGGTAGGGTAGGGTAGGGTAGGGTAGGGTAGGGTAGGGTAGGGTAGGGTAGGGTACGGTAGGGTAGAGTAGGGTAGGGTAGAGTAGGGTAGGGTAGGGTAGGGTAGGACAAATGATAAAAAGCATATGTTTGTGTACCTCTTAGAAAAAAATTTTTTTTTGACATTTTAAACGTAAGCTTACTGTGTTTGCAAGCCCGTTTACTACGTAGTAATTTTCTTGTTTACCTTCGAGATTATTAATTTAAGTTAGGAAATAAATAAAATAATAAGGCTTTAAACGCAAAGGTAATCTCACTTGGAGCAACGACGTAGAGGAGTTTTCACACTGTTTTATTGGGTTATGCTTATCATTTTGTTTATAATTTTTTCCATAAACTTAGTTTATTATAAAGAATTGTATACTCAGTTCACCCGGAAGTATTTTATCTTTTCGAATACTAAGGAATGACAGTATTAAGTTATCTATGATATTCTAAATTAGAGACAAAACATTTTATAATGCGTTTTGTCTAAACGTGTTTCTATGGAAAAAAGTTTGGATGTTATAGCTTTTATTTTCAGTAGTGTTGGCATTAATCATAGTAGTAGTATAGAAAAAAGTATTTTATTCTCATCTCCGTCCCCCTCTCAATTTTTTTTTAAAATTGGTTGAACGTGGTCTCCTCTGTTAATATTTTTGATAAAAAATTTAAAAAATTCTAAAAATTTTTTTTACCCTGCCCCCAAAATTTTTTTAAAAAATTTTTATTACTTGTTACCCTCGATTTCGAGTCAAAATTGAAAAAACGCAGAAAAAAAATATTTTATCCCACCCTCAAAAAATTTTTTTGCAAAAAAAAACGAAATTCTGCCCTTATCGAGGTTTAAAAAATTCTCTTTTCTTCAACCTTATTCTACCCCACCCTATCCTACTCTCCCAGCCCAAAATTACCCGCCCGCCACTGATTATACGTCTTGAAAATCAATTTTTAAGCCCCGAACGAACACCTATTTACGATAATAATTTCGTTTTTTTTGCAGGACATGCCGGGTGTGGCTTTGTTGGAGGAGCCGACAACACCGCAACGTTTGGCGGTGAGTTTTTCTCAAATCCTCGATTTTATGCAAATCTCGTGGTTTTTGAGGTCTAATCAGAGCGTTTATTCGATTTCAGCATTTCCTCTCCAAACCCTTCCGCACGAATCCTTTGAAACGAACCAAAAGTGTGTCCAAATTGGAGCGCAACACTTACACGGATCCGATTGGGTGAGTTGAAAGTTTTGAGAATGTTTTATCAAGATTTATGATGTCAAGGCTTACATTTTATCAAAACTTGTAAAAATTTTTTTAAATTTGAAATTTTTTAAATTGAGCATAAATTTTAGTTAATTTTGCATTAGAAATGAGGATTCTACGACATTTTTTATTAGAAATGAGGATTTTATGACATTTTTCATTAGAAATGAGGATTTTACGACATTTTTTATTAGAAATGAGGAATTTATGACATTTTTCATTAGAAACGAGGATTTTATGACATTTTTCATTAGAAATGAGGATTTTATGGCATTTTTCATTAGAAATGAGGATTTTATGACATTTTTCATTAGAGATGAGGATTTTATGACATTTTCCATTAAAAATGACGATTTCATGACATTTTTCATTAGAAATGATGATGTTATGACATTTCCCGTAAAAAATTTGCATTTAAAAAATTTTACTATGGTATATCACATGTAGTACACAGTGCAAAGGCCTGTACTACAACGCTAAACTTTGCAGTATAGGGGCTGCGAAAAACACTTTTGTTGTTGTTTACTTTAATTTAGGTAAACAACCATAAATAATAATTTTCTTCATAACATTATTTTAAAATTAAAATCTAAATTGTTTTATTAGAAAGGGCGTTAAAAAAAGAGGTTGTTTTTTAGTGGTAGAAAGGTACAGGTAGACAACGAGACATTTTTTGGCATCGTTATGATAAGGATTTTGAGTTACAGTAGACTAAAGAGGAGTTAAGGGGATAGGGAAAGGTAGGAATGAAGATTGGAAAGCTTTAAATTCCCTTCCTTTCTCCGTCAAGACTAGACCTGAGGAAAGGGCCGGCCCAATTTTGAGGTCCAACCTGGTTAAATTTGGATAAAGGCCGGCTTGGCCCTCATGTCTAGCCAAGATCTGTAAAGGGGCCGGGTTGCGCTTAATTTTTTGAGCTTTAAAGATTAGGTTTTGGTTTGGCCCAAGATGGTCTTTGCGCGGCCTTACCCGGCCTCGATTGCGCCTGGTTCGGCATGGCTTGGGGACAGGTCGGGCTTAGCGGGCTTTCTTTTACATGATTTGTTCTCTTGATTTTTCTTCTTCCACCTCTTGTCTTTCAAAAAATTGTGTTTTATCTGCCATTTTTCGTTACTGAACCTATAAAGGGGCATTGTCGGGCTTAGTTCTCCTCCTCGTACTTCTTTTTAAATCTACTGTATGCTATCTTTATATTAGTAATAAAATATAACAAAAAGTTATGGAACCATATAATTTTTTTTCAAATTTTACAAAAATGTTTAACGAAAATGGTATCACAATGCTTTCGAAAACAGTATACAACAATTTATTATGATTACAATAAAACCGCTTTGCGCCGCCACAAAATGGTTATTTGTCGATGGAAAAAAGTGTCACTATTTAAAAAAAACGTGTTTGCAATCCGTTAAAAACAATCGCTGACATGATCAATATGTTATTCATGTCGATTGCTTTTTTCGAATTTTGATAATTTGACATTTTGATGGAAATGACAAGGGGGTTGTTAGGGAAACGAGAATTTAGATTCAAGTGTTTTTGAGTTTGTGACAATGGCAGTGGAAAGAAAGTTTTGTCGTTCTTGATGCAATATGTGGTGGAAAGAAAGTTATGGGAAAACAAAAGGGTTTTAGGTAATAATGGAAAGAAAGTTGTTGCGGTTTTTCAAAAAATGAGTTTTGTAAAGAAAGTTCTTGCGTTTTTTTCAAAAAATGAGTTTTGGAAAGAAAGTTCTTGCGGTTTTTCAAAAAATGAGATTTGTAAAGAAAGTTCTTGCGGTTTTTCGAAAAAAATGAGTTTTGTAAAGAAAGTTCTTGCGGTTTTTCAAAAAATGAGATTTGTAAAGAAAGTTCTTGCGGTTTTTCAAAATATAAGTTTTGTAAAGAAAGTTTTTGCAATTTTCCAAAAAATGAGTTTTGTAAAGAAAGTTCTTGCGGTTTTCCAAAAAATGAGTTTTGTAAAGAAAGTTCTTGCGGTTTTTGAAAAAATGAGTTTTGTAAAGAAAGTTATTGCGGTTTTTCAAAAAATAAGTTTTGTAAAGAAAGTTCTTGCGGTTTTCCAAAAAATGAGTATCGTAAAGAAAGTTCTTGCGGTTTTTTAAGAAAATGAGCATTTTTTAGCGATCAGTTATACTGTAGCTTTACTGTACTATTAATTTATTACCAAGTATCATATATTACAAAACATGTTTCATCACGTTGTGACAACAGTGTAACACCTCCTTATGGTATTGTAACCGGAACAAAAATACCAGGAATTAGAGGAGCAACGTCGCGCGCAGTTATTTAATTACTCTGCCGCAGATTACATTACAATATAAAGGTGTTATAATTACTTTCGAAAAAGAAACGTAAACTTACAATAATATTGGAAAAAGGAGTCGATTTATGAATTTTTCGCACTTTTTTGGTAATTTTTCAAAAATTTTGAAGGATTTTAAGGAGTAAGGGGTAGGAAGGTAGGTATCTGGCAGAGAATTATTTTTAAGTCTAAGGGCGGGGTAAAAAAATAAAATTAATTTTGGTGGGTTATTTTTATGCTTCAAAATTCACTTTTTTGTAAAACTGTAAGAACTTTCTTTACGAAACTTATTTTTCTCAAAAACCGCAAGAACTTTCTTTACAAAACTTATTTTTCTAAAAACCGAAAGAACTTTCTTTACAAAACTCATTTTTTTGAAAAACCGCAAAAACTTTCTTTCCAAATCGCTCATTTCTGCCATTCTTTCACACACCCACTTCTTTCTTATCACCTATTTTTCTCCAAATATTACACAAATTCTGAAAATGCGCAACGTTTTACAACAATTCGTTACTTTTTCAACCTTTTTTGCCTTTTTTGAATCGAAAACTCAGCTGGAGATCAACGAATATATTATACTGAAGGCTAGGCTAGAGAAAAGCGAGAGAGTACTGGATGGGCAGAGAGATTTTAGGGGGATTTACGCGCCTTTGAAACAGTTTTTTTGAAAATTGAGACGTTTTTGGCGGCACTAAAAGGCTATTTTAAATCCATTATATTATAGTAGGGGTTGAAGTTGGGCTGAAGGGGTTGAGGTGAGGGTGGAAAAAAAGTTCTTGCGGTTTTTCAAAAAAATGGGATTTGTAAAGAAAGTTCTTGCAGTTTTTCAAAAAATGAATTTTGTAAAGAAAGTTCTTGCGGTTTTTCGAAAAATGAGTTTTGTAAAGAAAGTTCTTGCGGTTTTTGAAAAAATGAGTTTTGTAAAGAAAGTTCTTGCGGTTTTTGAAAAAATGAGTTTTGTAAAGAAAGTTCTTGCGGTTTTTAAAAAAATGACTTTTGTAAAGAAAGTTCGTGCATATGTTATCATTATCACCATCCAATAACGTTCTCTAATTATTCTTTTCATATTTTTGTTTATTTCCAAAAAGCGTTTCTATTATCGTCGCATACACGATATTCGATCTGTATTCTGCTTTTTGCCATATAAAAAGAGCTATTATATGTTCGGATCGAACATCGAGATCAAAGCGATAAATCGAACGTATTAACTCAAACTTTTTTCATATTTTTACGCTTTTTTGCTTATTTTGAGGTTGTTTGAGTAACCCTAATGAAGTTTTTATTAATAAAACGGCACGAACTTTCTTTACAAAGCTCATTTTTTGAAAAACCGCAAGAAGTTTCTTTACAAAACCGATATTTACAAAAAACGCAAGAACTTTCTTTACAAAATTTATATTTTTGAAAAACGGCAAGAACTTTCTTTACAAAACCTATTTTTTAAATACCGCAAGAACTTTCTGTCCAAAACTTATTTTTCGGATAAACGCAAGAACTTTCTTTACAAAACAATTTTTTTCAAAAATTGCAAGAACTTTATTTACAAAAGTCGTTTTTTCAAAAAAACGCAAGAACTTTCTTTACAAAAATGCAAAAACTTTGTTTACAACTTACTTATGACATTTCAAAACCACCTTTTGAACTTCATACGCCAAGCTCGATATTGATTTGCGTACAATACATTATATTATAGTAGAGCCTTTAACCTAGTTAAACCACCACTTCGCGACGAAAACTTTATTCATAATTTTTACGTTCCAAAAATGTGATTCTCGGAAGCCTTGTGTGTAGATCTGCTCTTCTTGAAAGCAGTGAATCATAGTGGGCTTTGAATGCATTCTTTTTACAAATATTTTTGTGTTTTTTTGCATTTTTTCGACAGTTTTCGTTATGGTATGGACATGGTTTAACTAGTTTAGAAGAGGCTATGGCAGACCTCGCTTTTGGGCCGGGGAGGACCGAGAGTTTAGGAGGCTATGCACATGGTTCAGGTAGTTTAAAAAAGGCTTGTTTTGTTAAGATGTGAAAATGGTTTAACTAGTTTAGGTGAGTCTATGTATAGGCATAGTTTAACTAGTTTAGGAGAGGCTATGGAAAACCTCGCTTTTGGGCAGTGGAGGACCGAGTTGTCACTATGGTCCTGGTTGAATTTTTTTTGCGGCCCGGTCCAGGGTCTAGATCTAGGTTATGAATATTAAAATGAGTATAGTTTTTGGTTTTTTTAACCTTTGGGTAGGTGAAATCTGCAAAGAAATTTATTGCGCTTTTGCGAAAAATAAGTTTTGTAAAGAAAGTTTTTGCGGTTTCTAAAAAAATGAGGTTTGTAAAGCAAGTTTTTGCGGTTTTCAAAAAAATGAGTTTTATGAATAAAGTCCTTGCGGTTTTTCAAAAAATGAATTTTGTAAAGTAATTTATTGCGGTTTTTAAAAATATGAGTTTTGTAAAGAAAGTTATTGCGGTTTATCAAAAAATGAGTTTTGTAAAGAAAATTTTTAACTGTGGCATGTCGACTACCATATTTTACTCTGCACATCTGATTTTGCCCATCCATCATTCGAAATTCGAAAAGTCTTGAATAATCTGTCACCTCGACCCGAAACCACTTATGATAATATCAGTTGAGAGTTTTGAAAAACGCCTGACAGCCGCAATAATAATTCGCGCGTTTTCCGTCACTTTCACCTTCAGTCGTGTCCAAGGTCGTGTCGTAGTCGAAACGAAAATTTTTGTTTAGTCGATGGGATGAAGGCGAGATTCGCAACGGTCGAGAATCGAAGAGGAATGGACAGTGGGGAGGTTGGGGCTGTGGATCATGAATTTGGGGCTTTGGATCGTGGACTTGAGGCTGTGGTTCATGGCTTTGGAACATTTAGGCCTCGGAATGGTGTGTTTGGTTATCAGAATGATGCGTGTGGGCCTCTGAATGACGTCCTTAAGACTCAGAGTAAAGCGTTTGGGCCATATAACGATTCATTTGGGCTTCAGAATGATGCGTTTGGGACAAATAATGAAGATCCTCGACCAGTTCATGCTCATTTTGATACTTTAATGAATGATTTTGGAGCTACAACTACAGATTTTGAAATCAAAAACCGTATTGAAAACATAAAAGATGCTCTTGATGCTACAGATCATTGTGCTAGAAATGGTGATGATATTATACATGGCCCCTTTGACCAAAAAAGATCGTCTATTCAACCTAACGCAAGCAATTCAGCCAACAATATCTCAGTCCAACTAAGCCCAGTGTCACCACCAACAGTAACACTACATCAACTTCTACCTAAACTATCTTCTAATTCTGAAAAACGTCATAGAAGTACGATTGTAGTACAAAATACATATTCTGAAGCTCCATTAACTCAGAACCCATATTCGAATGTACTGTTAAAGCCATGTACTGACTTGCCTGGGCCTTCAGAAGGTCGATATGGCCTTCAAAGCCTACCGCGACAAGGGTCTTATTTGTACGATAGACCGATTCGGTTGCATCAGCTGAAGGTTGTTGATGATGAGCTCGGTGTTGGTAATGAAGGGAATGTTTGTACCGGTATGAAAGTTCAAAAAGAGGATTTTAAACTTCAGAAGGAAGATTTTAAGCCTCAAAAAGAAGATTTTAAACTTCAATATTCATCGTCATCAGAAGCGTTAAATTCTGAATATAAAAACTTAAGTCTCCCTTATGAAAACCATCATCTTTGTGATTATTCATCAAGTTTTATTGAACAAACTCAAAGTTATCAACCTTCATATCTTTCTACTGAATCTACGAAGCATTCTACACAACCTACAGAGCCTTCTACAGAATCTACAGAGCTCTCTACACAATCCGCAGACAATTTAAGAAGCCTATCACAAGCTTCATTAGATCCTACCCAAGAACTACTACATTACACACTACATCGTTCCAAGTCACCGTCAAAACTTTCATCTACAGATTCATCGGAAGCGGACCCTATCAAGTTGGATCATTCCACGTCGAGTGACTCGATTAACAGCCCTAAACTACAAACTCGACGATTTCAAGATTCAGGATGCTCGAGTCTTCAGATTCCACCGTTGTCGGAAGCCACTTCCCCTGAATTCGATAGGAAAGTGCTTGAAATTCAATCTGAAGGGATTGAACTTCGTAGTGAAGCGGCTGAACTTCAAAGTGAAGCGACTGAACTTCACAGTGAAGGGATTGAACTTCAGAATTTGAAGCAGCTGAACAGTGTTGTGGTAGGATCTGAAGGCGCCGACGTTAATGGTCACGGAGGTAAAGAAGAAGCTACTTTTGACGTTCAACGTGACAGGCACGTTTTGAACTTCAACGTGCCTTTTGAAGGCAAATCTACTAATGTTACACTAGATTCTGAAGCCAAAAATTTTTATTTCAACAAAGACGACAACATAAGAGTAAAATTAAATTCAGAAGCCAAAAATCGACCAATTTCTTCAATTTCAACCTTAGATGATTATACTTATGATAATTTAGCCTACAGTCCGTTCAGCTCAAGACAACAACGCTCACAAGAATCCGAATCTCAGACTATAATTCTGTATCATGATTCTGAAGTTGATACGGTGACTGACGATTATAAAAACTTACGAGGAGACGAAGCTACACATTTTGAAAACTCAGAGGAAGACGTAGTTACACATACTAAAAGCCCACGAGAAGACCAAGCTACACAACCTAAAAGATTAGATTCAGAGCTTCAAGCTTCTGATTCTGTGAATCCGTACTCAAAGCAGCACAGTTCAAACAATATAGAGCATTCAAACAACTTTGACTTGAACAAAGCAAATCTTCTGAAAACCACAGAAGCCCCAACCCCAACCAGAAGCTCATCGTTGTACCAAAATCGACCGAAAAAGCCTCGTCGATTAGTGCGAGGTCGGATCGTTTTCCATCAAAAACGGTTTGTTTACTCAATTTACTTTTTTTATTTGTACAATGTTTATGTCTATTTTCGAACGGAACAAACGACGGGTTTATGATAGATTGATATGGGCGAGGGTAATTGATATATACGGGATTTTGGTCGGGGGGGAGGGGGGGTTAAAAGGGGGTGACAGACAAAAAATTTTTTGTCTTGATTAACAGGTCCTGTACACTATTTTTCTAAAAAAAAGTTTTATTGTACTTACAGGCACTTACCTACCTACAAACTTTTTTGGATTGGCGCTGGGGAAGTGTATCTACCCTTGCCCTTCCCATCGACTACCCCTCCCCTCCCCCCTTCTCTCCCTCCTCCCCCACCCGCTAGCGACTTGCTTGCCTATAACTACTCCTTTTTGCAGTAAAATGCTACTTTTGATAACTATTAAGTGTCGACATAAAGAACCCTCCATTTTTTAGAGGAAATTACTTGAAAAGTATGGCGGGTTCTTTATGTCGGCACTTAATATTACATAAGTTATGGTGTATGACACAACATCATTTCAAGCCAATTAAAACAAAATTTTTCAAAGCAATGACGACGAATTTGATTTGAACTATTAAAAATGCGATTAAAATGAATTTGAGCCCTTTTCAAACACAAATAATGTGAAAAAAGCGATTGTGAGGTAAGCCACATTAAGCGAGGGTCAGGTCATTCGCACACACTGTGATATACCATGGTATACCGTCGAGTTCGGTTGAGAATACCATCGAAAATCCGTTGATGGGGTCAAAATTTTATTCGATTTGACGGTGGTCTTCATACATTGAAGACTTGCCACTATCTACCTACTACAATGTAGTTGTTTCTTGGGTTAAATTTAGTTTTTGAGGGACTGAAGGTTAAGAAGATGCCAAAAGGCGTTTTTTAAGATGTGATGATTAAAACTAGGTTTATCGAGTTTAATATAAGCCAAGGATTACATTGTTAGACTTAATATAAGCCTAATATTGTTAAAAACCAAATTTCAAAAATTTTAAAACTTAAAAATAAGTAAATTTAGAGTAAAATACGATAGTTAAAAGTAGAATTTGTAATATTTATTATTTCCAGGCCAAACCTGCATGCATCACAAGAAAACATGCTGTACAATGGTGGCAGAATACCACTGAACATGCCGGTCGACCCCTACCACAACCTTCATATTCCCGAGTTTTTCGGTCAAAGCATGAAGTCTTCACGAAGTCATGAGAGTCTGCTCAGTTTTAGTGGGGCGAATCATGTCACTGATTTGAGTAAGTTTTTGTCTTAATTATGGCCTCTGTGCGAATTTTGATGAGCTTATAGTTCGGGCATGTTTCAGCGTATAAAATGTCACTTCAGTAAAAAATGTTTTATAATTTTTGATTTCTGAGGTTCTGAGAGCTTATTGATTACATTTTTACAATTTTTTCTAAATTTTATTTATTTAGACATGTTTTATCGTATGACATGTCTTTCACACAACTTTCAGCATATAACTTGTCTCTAATAATTATATTTTCTCTTTTTTTCGACAAAATTTTATTTCCAGACCATTTTTCAAACCTATATCCACATTTTATTGTAAAATCTTTAAACTGTGAATTTGTTCCCAGAATCCTTCAGCTATATTACACATTATCTTTGCTTCAGTATAATATAATATTTTACATTACTAATATCGCAAAAATTTCTGTATAATCATTCAACAATTTTCAGAGCAGCCCGACCTTCGTATTCATCCTGTACATCCGTCCGTGTTGGAAGTCGACAACTGCTTCAAAGTTGCCAATTCCTACTACGTTTGCGAATCGCCGCAGGAGCGGACGCGATGGCTTGAAAAGTGAGTTTTACTTTGATGTTTGAGTTGTTTATTGGTGAATTTGTATTCAAAAGATAGCCAAGAGCGTGTATAAGCTTTTTATATCAGTTTTGGTTTGGAAAACGTTTGGTTTGGGGATCTGCAGGATCAATTATATTATCCATGTTCTAAAAATTTCGGTTTTGATGGTCTACCTCAAATTCTTTCCATTTTAGGTATGAAAACAGCTAATGAAAGATGTTTTGTTGATTGTAAAAAGTTAACAACATGTGAAACTTTAAGTTTTGTAGCATTTACAAGTCTGTTTTACTTTTAAAAATTGGAAAATTTCAATTTACTTCATGGTCTACCTACTTTACCCGCAAATGCATGGTTTCTCTGGGGATTTTAATTAAAAATAGAGGTGAAACTAATACAAACGGTAGCAGTTTTTAAAGTAAAGATACTAGTATATGTTATGAAGCTAAATTAATTAAAGTCATGCTGATTTTATTTCTTTTAGAGGAGTAACTTAGCTATATTGAGGAAGAGGTACGTTCGTTTTTGGAGAATTTGAGGCTTTTCTTTTGATTTTTAGTGGCTTTTGTGGATTTTTCTTGAGGATATGTTATTGAATCTTGTAGTAAATAGTGCGAGAATTGATTTACAACATAGATCACACCTAAGTTCTTTAGACTTTTTGACCAATTGTATAATAAGTTTAGGTGAAATTCACAAATTTCTGGCTAAAATTTGTTTCGACCGCTGGATTGTTGTAAATCCTTCTAAAAAATTAGGCTTGCTTAGTAAAACATCAAAAAGTCCTTGTTTGAGTTTGTCAAAGTTTAAAACGGTCCGGAAAACGGCTTGAAAGTCCTTAAATTGGACAAATAATAATCAAATGAAGTCCGCGCGGTCGGCAAAACACTTTCGACTGACTTTCAATGGCTTTATAAATGCGCGAATCGCATAAATTTCCTAATTTTCGGTTGTTTTGAAACCATGAGACATCTGTTATTGGGATCTTGTTTTCTTGCGGCTTGATATCTTGGTTTTCTTATGGTTTTTTTGAATTATTGACTAAAAATGCAAATTTTGAATTTGTTACCTAAAATTTTAAATTTGGAGGATTTGTCATGATATAATAAGTAAAATGGCAAAATTTTTGAACTTTTCGTGAGCTGAGGTTAATTTTCAATTTTTGTTACCTAAAATATCTTGTTTTTTGCAGTTGTTACCTAATAATTAAAATTTTGAATTTGTTACCTAAAATTTGAAATTCAGAAAATCTGTCATTGTATAATAAGTAAAATGGCAATGATATACAAACGTTTTGTGAGCTAAAGCTAGTTTTCAATTTTTGTTACCTAACATGATGAATTTTTAAAACATAAAACAAATTTACCTACTTGAGTTCTACCTGATCTAACTCAGCTAAAGTAAGTAACATTTTGGCTATTTCTCACGACAACTAGCTTGTTCATGAACTCTTTGTTTAGAAAAAGTGAGTCATAGGTTTGCAGCGATTTGTCGCAATGTTCTGCAGATGTGTTTATTTTGGGTCTGATGGCTATTTTTGGCATTTTGATCGGATTTGCTGATAGTTGTTGATAATGTTTTGATGGTTTTTGATTTTTTACTTTTGGTGGTTTTGTTTTGAAACAAAGTTTATGATGTATGGTTTGATAGCTGGTCGTTATTGTGACTATCTGTGGCATTACAGGGTTGTATTGAAGAGTTTTGGCTATTACAAGCAATCTTTGTTCAGTTTTTTGCTCGGTAGCTCATGAAGAACATCAATCTCCTCTTCTGACTTTAGATCATCCTTAATATCCTTGACTTGACTTTATGCTCTCAGTAGTTTCACGTTTAACTGCTCTCATTTGACTTTGATAATAAGCTTGTTCTCTTCATCACACATTAAGCTTGCTCTCTTCTTCACATTGACCTCTAAATTGCGTTTACATTCACGTTGACCTCTCTTTTGATCTGATTTTCAGGTCGATATGAAGCTTATTCCCATATCTACGTTGACATTTCAATTGCTCTCATTTATTTTGATATTTCAATTCGGAAATGAAAAGATTCCGCGACGAATGACAACATTATTGAAACAGTTGCGTAACCAAGTCATCGTCGAGTGGATGAAGAAGATTGTTTTCATTCCGCGCAGCGCGCGTCAACGCTACACAGAATTCAGGTGATGAGAGAGGAAGAGAGGAATATACATGTTGATATAGGTGAGAGAGGAGAAAGATGTAGAGCTAGATACATGATAGAGTAGAGGAATACATAGAGCTTCATACTTGATATACGAAGAAGATATAGACCTAGGTAGAGAGAGTTGAAAGATATAAACCTTCATACCTGAAAGACGAAGAAGATACGTCCCTTAAAACCAGGTGAAAAAAGAGAGACGACTCACACATACGTCTATAAACATCACTGAAGAGGAATATATACATGACCTCGAATGATTTCTTTCCGGTTTGTTGGCATCTGTCGTGTGTTTCTGAAGGCCGCCATTGTTGACGGGCGGATTCTGTGTTTTTTCGTTGGGAGAAGTCGGATTGAACAAAAAAAGAAGCCGGCTGTTTGATTGATTGTGGAGGCTTTGGTGGTGGTCGGCTTGTGGCTTCGGACTGGACTGATATTGCTACACATAATTGTTGAGGAAAGGCTTCTATTGGAAGCAGCTGGATTTTGAAGTTTTGTGGAAGGTTTCTACTAATTTTTGAGGATTCTACAGTGATTCTGAAGGGTACCGAGATTGAAACATTGATTTCGAGAGGCTACTGAAGTTATATTTTACTACAGTTTATCTACAGTTTGCTATATCACTCAACAAAGGCTATTAAAAGCGAGCTATTTTCTTGTTACATCTTGCTACACTATTTCTATAGAATACTAGATCATTTTTAGTCGGCTACAGGTCTCTAAAACCTACTTTAGAAGCTACGGAGCTTAAAGTTTTGAACTGATTACCAAATCCAGAAACACTAAAAAAAAACTACTGTAGTTTTCAAAAAACTTGATGTTATAATCAACTACAGAAGCTAAAATTCTTCCGAATTTGATTGTCTAAGCGTTAGCAAAGGTTATCTGATTCTCGAATCTTTATTACAAAAGCTGAAGAAGCATTGAACCGTCTACGACGACGTTAATGATAGCTTTGTGTATTCATCATACTACAACTTGTCAATCGGCTAGAAGTTAGACAATAATAGTGCAACTTGATCTACAGTGACAAAACTGCTTGATCTACAGCGATATTAGTTGTACCTCAAGATTTGAAAATTGTTTTTGACAAATCATATTGTATTCTGCTAGTTTAACACTCTCTATCTACTTTGAAACGTTGAGGAGAAGCTGAGCTGGTTGAAGACGTATTTTACAAAAAACTCGACTTTCTCGCATTGTTACTACAACAAAATGCCTCGCCACTTTCCTAACTACAATATGACAATAAGTCCGAAGAAGTTTTCAACAGCACCTAATGGTCATAGGAGTCGACTACGTCGAGTTTTATCGTCAGATGTCTTTTTAACTCCACCGGAAGCCTTTCTGAATCCTCAACCACCTCTACCACCTCGGAGGACTAAACGCCTCAGCTTGCTAAGGTAATTTCAAAATAAGATTTTTTGTTTTTTTTTCAAAAAATAATTCAATCTAGCCTTCTGATTTTCCTCTTTCTTTTGATTCTCACACGCATTAACAAGGTTTCATTTGCGCAATCGCAAAAAAAATATTTATTCAAGCAGTCTTGACTCATAAGAAAAAGGAATAACAGTTTTTTTCATCGGATCTTCTGTTTACAATGTTGATGATAGTTAGAAGCCGGCATTGATGGAATTTGGTTTTAGTTTGGGCTTTTGATTTAGAAGCTTATATTTTATTGTGGTTTTTTTAGTTGGAGCTTTGTTGAAGACAGGGTCAGCACTAGATGTTCTAAGAACTCTGGAGCTGGCTTTGGCTTCGTGGTGGCTCCAGATCTATAAAATGTCGAATTTTAGTACTAAAGGCCCCTGGAGTCGGCACGGCTCTGGAGCCGGAGCTAAACTTCAAAAAAGGCAGGGCCGGATCTATAAATTTTAAATGTGGGGGCTTTGGTGTGCATGGTATTTTGACTTTACTGTATAGCACTAAATATTGTTCACAGTACTGTAAGGTTTTTTCTCGTACAGTAGGACTGACCTCTTGAAGGCTACTAAATTATGAGGACTTGAAGCGCTATTTGAAGGTTTTTTACATAATGATACTCACCTTTTTCATTACGATAAGTTCGATTTTTATGAATCTGGATTATATTACACTTGGTTTTGTAGTGTTTACTCAGCTTCACGGAATTTTAAAATTTTTTGTCATTATTTAAAGTCCAACGTAAACAAGTTGCTATAGAACTGTTTTTTCATCTGCTTATCTTTACATTGATATTTATTATCTGAGTTTTTTTAGTTTTACTTTGGTGTTGTGGTATCTTCTTTTAGTGTTTTGAATCTGTGGTTTCACTACGAATTTTTGCGCCTTATACGCCTATGATTTAGGTAATAACGTAACAATAAAAGGCTTTTATTTAGGTGATAAATGTGTCTTTTTGGATCAGTTCTGATGATTTTTAATCAAAGCTTTCAAACTTTTAATCTTGTCAAATCAAATTGCACTAAAATGTTCAATTTCCTACGTTTTTACATAATACATATCAAATGTATAATTGAATTAAACGTAATACAAAGCTTATGATCAATTGAACGTAGCCATCCACTTGAACTAGAATCCCCCTCTCTGCCTACTTTACGCATGTTCTTTTAATCGCATGTTTATCAAGTTGTTTTATTGTTTATTCCCTTTTCATGCTACGTTATTCGAGTTCAGTTGAGTTTTGCACTTGAGAGTTAAGCCGATATTATTCCTGTTACCGACGTGATAAGGGATGTTGAGGGTTCTTTTTTTGGTTTCTAGGCTGTCGTAATAAGATGGGTTGCTAAATTAGGGTTCAGTAGTGAGGTTTTTTTTGAATTTTGTCAAGGAGGGGGTGATTTAAAATTTTTTTGTTTTATGGTTTATGCTTTTTAAAAAACAAAAAAAACATTTTAAAACAAAGCCTTAGGGAATAAAAGTTATTTTTTGGTTATTTTCTGTCATTTTGAACCTATATTTTTTAAAACATACCCAATTTTTGATGGCCTTCCCTACTCCGATTATATTACCCATCCCGGCACCCGAAATCTGTACGAATCTCGGTAATAAATCATTATAATCAGACTCCACAATCTTGCAATCTTCATGTTTACATTTCCGTAATCAAAAATTCTACTCAAATTATTTCCGTAATCAGAATTTGCACTTGAGCACGATCGCAAAAAACGAACTTGTCGCAATCCGTTTGGCGGTATTGTATACGAACATGTTATTGTATGTTTACTCTCTCCCTTTCTCGTTTATGGAGATGAGATGAGGGGGGAAAGAGGGAGAAGGTAATGAACGCGCGACGCGCTCAGGGTTTAGGACACTTCGGATTTGGTTGGGTGTTTCTATTCTCATTTAAATTTCGGTGAGGCAAGGTCGGGAGAGCGGAGGTAGCTAACGGGTTATACCTTTCCGAAACACGAGGCTTTATGAGGAGTTAATGGAGGATAGGGTTGGTGGAGGATGATGTTGGGTCAAATCCGATTTTGGATTGGCTTGAGGGTTTGATTTTTTTCGATTGGGACAGGTATTCATCTTAAGAGTTCTTGGCTTCAAAATGGTTTTAATATAGTCCGAGATCTAGTCCTAGCCCTCGTTTTAACCTTTAGCTTTAATCTGGCAACTTTAAGGCACTTTACTCTAGTTTTCAGTTAGAAATTCGCACTTTACTTTAGGCTTCAGATAGAAAACTTGGTTTTAAATTGAATATTTTTGTTTTTCAAAGTCAACCCTTGAGGTTAGCTCAAGTTTTGGATTATTTACTGTTCGCTAATTAGCAATAGATGGGATTTCGAGAGACAAATACAAATTTCTTTTGTTTAAATTGGCTCGTTTTGGGTTCGGTTCAGGTAAACAAACAACTTTAGCTGGTTCATTTGAATACGGTTTTAGTCAATGTGCTATAGTCTTTAGGGTTTTAGTGATATAGCTACTTGATATAACTTAGTATAGTATTGGTTGTTCAAATTATTCTGTGCCTTATACCATGTAAATTTTTCTTCTGAGGGGCACATAATCGAGTGAAATGACTAATATTAAGTTAAAGTAAGCGAAGCTATGTAGAACCCATAAACGACAATCATCACAACTTTTCCACTCTTTACTCTACCCTTTGCCACGCGAAATCAATTAGATTACCTAACCCCTATAATTAAATGGGCGAAAAAGTGTTATACTTAGACAGATTGGGTCATATGCAACATGTCGCAGGTGCAAGCGCGCTTTTAACACGGGTTTTGACACGTTTTTATGGTGTTAAAAGCAGTTGTATATATGTCCTAGAATGTAGTATAACTTGTAAAGATGTCATAGGGTATAATATCGGCTATAGGCCTATGATCTTCTTGACTTTTGTCGGCTTTTTTGTGGTTCATTGACTTTTTTAGGTATGAAACTTGGGAAAAGGGTTTTTTGTCATTTATATTGTGGTAGATATGGCATTGCTCTTAACTTTGTGATTTTTTCTTAATATGTTTCATCTATTCCAAGCTTTAAAAATTTTAAAAAAAACTAAAGACCCTCATTTTCTACTGCCCAAAACGTTTAAATTTCAATTACATTGCCTGTAATATCGTTCTCCGTATACGTTTTATGAAAAGTCATTAAAAAGTGGTTGTAGTCGGAAAGAGTATTTTCGAATACAACTACTTTTTATTGCTACCTTTCCGGTTATAAGCATATTTCAATTAACAATAAAATGATTTCAATTACAAAAGACTCGAAAGCGAGACGTTTTTGATTGTAGTAGACTGTCTACCAGCAGTTATTAGCAATTTTATGGTGTTCTAACGGAATTAGCAATGGTTTTTCTTTGTCTTATGGTAGGGTAGTCTATTGTAATTTGGTTTTGGAGGGCTTTCTTAGGAGTTTAGTTTATGGTTTTTGAAAAAAGTGTATGAGAAACGTGTAAAGGATGGTTCAAGAGGTGTATAGTGGTTAACAACTTATAACTTGGTTGTTGTTTTAAAGTTACTAATGTTAAATTTGGCATGAATAGAGCCTAGTTTGTGGTTGACTATATAAACTAAATTTCTTGTTTTAAAAGTGCAAGATGAAGTTGTTATGAATTTTTGAAAAAATGAATTTTGAAAAATTTTTTATTAAAATTTGTAGCAGTTTTAATTTGCACATTAAAAATTTAAAATATAAGTTATAAGGTTACTATAGACTAGGGCAGGTTTTTGCTAAATTTGTCATCTCTAGCTTTTGTGATGACAAAATTATAAGCTGTTAACTACTTACACCTCTTGTATCATCTTTTACATTTTTTTCTATTTTTTTACAAAAATCATAAACTAAGTTTCGAAGAAAGCCCCTCAAAACCAAATTACAATAGACTACCTTACTACCAAGGCAAAGAAAAATTGTTGCTGATCCCGTTAGAACATCATACAATTGTTTCTTTGCGTCTCTTGTAGCAGCCTTTATATTATTTTCTTGAAATAAGCCTGGCTCAAATAGCTGTGACATACCTTTTGAACTACTTTAAAAACCTTGCAAAACTCAGTTTTAAGTTCACCCTTTTTCAATTTACCCTTCACGACCTATAACTTTGTTACGTGATCCATAAAAACAATAAAGTTTATGCTCAATAAAATAGAAAAAACTCTGGGCCGCATAGTCAAAAAATCCGCTGATCCATAAAAATTTGTCTCGAATTGAGGGCCAAAGTGATACATCACAAGTGGAAACATGTCGCCATGTTTCGGGCCCAACATTTTACACTTGGATTAATCCTCCACCACCATTTTTAATAATTACGAATGGCGCGCAATTCATCAGTTTTTACTGGTTTTATGTGGCTTTTTGGTTAGTTTTTGGGTATGTTTTGGCTAATGTCTGAGTATGTTTTTGGCTAGTGTTTAGGCATGTTTTAACTCGTTTATGGGCATGCTTCTGGCTATTGTTTGGGCATGTTTTTGCTTAGTATTTGGCTTGTTTTGACTAGTGTTTGGGCATGCTTTTGGCTAATTTTTGAGCATTTTTGACTATTCATTGGCATGTTATTGCAGGTTCTTCATCTGTCTTTCAAGTTTCTTTGAACTTTTTTTTGAATTCGTTAGCTATTGGCTGCATGGACCTTAAAACCCTCCTTTTGTCCTACTACCAACCTCTTGACTGGTCGAAAACCTTATTCGAATGCCTCTTTCTGAACAGAGACATTAAACTCGAGCCAAGGTCGTCATTGAGTAAATCTAAAAAAGTTTGCGAAGGTAATTGAGGAGATTGACCCTGCCCGTGTACCGCTTGTTTCATTTTTCAAAAATTTACTTTGGGTTTCAAATTTCTTTTACTACTTTTGAAATCTTGAATGTTGACCTTACTGTGGTTAAAAGTGAATTTTGATCATACTGTAGTTAAAGATGTGATATCCAGAAAAAAAAGTTTGGGGTGGGCAGCAAAAAATGTCGGGCGGGGTAATTTTAGGGGAGGGGTAATTTTTTTCGTAATTATAATAGAACTTGATTTGAATTTGAAATACTGTGTATGACAATATTTTTCAAAAAAATATTTTTTTTCGGGGGTAGATTTAAAAAATTTTTTAAAAAGTTGAAATACTTCCTAAGATCAATTTTTTGAATTATAGTTTTTTTCTTCTGATCCTACTTCAATTTCCGACTTGTTTCCATAATTTCCCCGCCAAAACTAAAAGTTTGTTTCCGTATTTTTGGGATGAAAGAAAAGTAAAAATAAAAACGTTCTTCGAGTGGACCTCAACAACCTTTCAAGGGGTGGTTTTCCACAATTTTGGGCAATATTTTTCCATTTTTTTGGTTGTTATCTGTTGTTTGAGAGTTTTAAAAGTATTGTAAAATACGTTGGTCGTGGCATTGTTAATAAATTGAAGTTTTTTGAAAAAAAAATTTTGCAAAGATGTGTTTCTTTGTATTTTCGTACTATAATACGCCTGAAATAACTTCACGGTAAAGCTTGTGGTTGCATAAAAAAATAATTTTTGAAAAAGATTTTTTTTAGAAAAAAAGGGGGGGGGGCCAAGCTCAATTTTTTTTTCAAAAAAAAATTTTCTTTTTAAATTCTACTTAGTAAAATACGTCTTGAATAACTTCAACCAAAAGTTTATGGTTAACTAAAAACGCCGTTTTATCGATACTATTACCTAAATTTACATTTTTTAAAACTTTTTTGTTTTCAGCATGCGCCGCGCAATAAACCCACATCTGGACGAACGCCGACGTACAGAGAATTCGCTTCAAATTTGGATTTTAGAAGCCAAGGGTATTCCACAGAAAAGGCGTTATTATTGTGACCTGGTATTGGACTCAACGTTATATGCCAAAACATCGACGAAAACACACACTGAACACTGTTTTTGGGGCGATTTCTTTGATCTAAAGTAAGGTTTGGGGGAATAACGTGTTTGAGGTGTATATTGAGGAGATATTTACTGATGAGTTGTATATTGAGGAGATATTTAAAACTAAAAATTTTAAAATTTAAAAAAAATGAATTTCCAGGTCCCTACCAGCACTCAGAAACGCGGTAATCAACCTATACAGAGAGCAAGATCCAAGAAAAGAAGGACCATCACACTCTAATAGGACAAGTTACTATCAATATCGACCAGTTCAAAGGACGACAACCTAATGAGAAATGGTATGTAGTTTTTAGATCTTTAAAAAATTTTGTTACCTAAAATACGATTTTTGGAATTGTTACTTAACATTAGATCTTTGAGATTGTTACCTAAAATTAAATTTTTTGAAATTGTTCCCTAAAATATTGTTTTTAAGATTGTTACCTAAAATATGATGTTTTGGCAAAAAAAGTCATTTTGATGATATTGCTGGTTCATATTTCGTAAATTTAGGTATATTATAAGATATGTAATCCAAATTTTATAACTTTAAGCCTACAGTAACATAAGTTACATTACTTTTCTTATTTGCACGCAAAAACATGACCAAACTTGATCGTTTTCTAATTCAAATGGTCGTTTTCATGGTCACGGTCCGTATTTAGAGTCGAAGAAAATGCGTTTTAGTGACCAATAAAGGTTATGTTTATTTAAAAAATTAAAGATTTTGCAAGATATCACGGTAACAACATAGTCATACCTACTACAATATAATTTTTAGCCAAAAAATATAAACCTTTATTTTCACATAAAATTTCAGGTTCACCGTAACGACAGGCAATGAAAACTCCAGGTCAATGCTCTCAAAGAGCCCAGAACCAGTAGCAATTCGAATAAAAGCTCGCTACCAGACAGTAGATGTTCTACCACTAGTCGTATATAACCGTCTAAACAACTTTGTCAAACTCAACTACCAGTCCCTGTGCGAAAACCTGGAATCAGCCTTAGGCGTGAAGCTAAAGGAAGACTTTGCAACATGCCTGGTCAAGGTTTTACATCGACAACGCGTGGTAAAAGACTTTCTCTGCGATATTATCATGGCCGAAGTGGCTCAACTCGACAACGATCACCTCATGTTCCGCGGCAACTCGCTAGCCACCAAATCCATGGAAGCCTACATTAAACTGGTCGCAGCTGACTACCTACATAATACTCTGGGAAAATTCGTCAAGTCTTTGGTGGTGAATCCACCCACTTGTGAGGTTGATCCAACTAAAATGTCATCGAATTCCACCACCGCGCTGAATGCGAATAGGAAGAGATTGATGGAGGCGGTGGAGCAGGCATGGGCTTGTATCGTCAAATCGGCTTCTATTTTTCCACAACAACTTCGAGAGGTCTTCCATGCCTTGAGAAGAAGGTTGGATGAACAAGGAAAGGGTCACATGGGTGATAAGTTGGTTTCGGCTTCGATCTTCTTGAGGTTCTTGTGTCCGGCCGTGCTTTCACCTAGTTTGTTCGGATTGGTAAGGGTTTAGGCATTGATTGCTGATTAATAAGGTAGAGAAGAACCTTGCAAATCTGATAATAATATGCTAGAAAAGAACCTTCATCTCCACATGACTGGTGCCAATAACAATTTTAAAAATTTTGAAGCTAATAGCAAGATCAAAAGGTTTGAAATGCCTGTAAAAATTAAACAAGGAACCCTTTCAACTATTGCATATCAAATTTCTAAAGTTTTTGGACATCTACGCAACATTTTATATTGTTTTAGTTGATATAGGTATCAAAACTGGCCTATATAATTAAAGATACCCTCCTCCATTTTGTTTCATGCCTAAAATCAGAAAACAAACAAATAAATAACTCACTTTTACAGTTTAACATCCAAAATTTCAGGTATCAGAATACCCATCCGAGCAGGCGTCTCGCAACTTGACATTGATCGCCAAAACCCTCCAAACTCTGGCGAATTTCACGAAATTCGGCGGAAAAGAGAGCTTCATGGAGTTCATGAACAACTTCATCATCAAAGAGACAAGACCAATGCACTCCTTCCTCGTCGGCATCTCACATCCACCATTGTTGAACGAGAAAGCGATCACTGCATCGAATAATGACATCGATAGTGAGATTGATCTGGGCAAGGAATTGAGCTGTCTACATTCGTACCTCGAGGAACATTGGACTAATGAGGTGAGGATTAGGTATTTATAATCGTATTTTAAGTCGATTGTTTAGTTTAGAAGGAAGAGTTTCTTCGGCTGATAAAAAAATTTTAGAGAGAAAGTCTTGACACATAAATGAACTTTTGGGTCAAGTTTTTCTCTTTGTAGAAAAACATTGTTTTTGGTCGATCTTTGGCCCTTTTTGATAAAAAGTAGTAAAAAGCATTGCATTTAAATAGTTTTTGAAGGTTATAAAGGAAAAATTATTAATATTCACTAAAATTTTGCTCCTTTCAGGTCCATGAAAAAGCCAGCCAAGAAGACGAGAACATGGCCCAACTTCAAGCCATTATCGCCGAAATTGACATGTGCCGAACACGAGAATACACTCCACAATCTACGTTCTCATCATTCTCATCACGACAATCTACAAGTCCACCATCAGACTACGAAAACAATGTTAAACCTCAACCACCACCCAAAAGTCGCCAAAGACAAGCGGCCATGAACTTGAACACGGTCGATGATTACGTTATGGGTGCCGCAGTAACTCCTGAGCCTACGACAAGGTCAAAAAGTCAACAGAGATTCTTTTACCGTGATATGAATGAAGGAAGAGTGTATGATGGGCAAAATGGAGGGGAAAGAACTAGGTATGAACAGCAAAGTGGAAGGTTTGATGTGAATGGACGAGTTGATCAGAATGGTCGATTCGATGGTCAGAATGGTCGACTAGATAGCCAGAATGGTCGATTTGACGCAAGATACGATGTTAATAACATAAAGGATGGCCTAGAAGCTCAATTAAGAGGCAGAAATGGCTCATTCGGGCTTGTTGATGGTTACAACGGTCAGTTTTCGGCTTCAGAAGGCCTTAAGGGCATGGAAAGTCATGTGATGAACCGTGAAAGCGCAGCTTATCGAGATGATGGTGTAGTGTATCGAGATGGTCAATTAGGTCACGATCAACCACGAAAACCACGTGAAGGTTTATCCAAAAGATTCTCCATGCCATACGGCAATCAGAATATCTATGATGTTACTCCAAGTGCTCGAGATGGATATCATTTGTACGATGAAGTGTCACAAGATCTGGACTATAAGAATGACTTTAGTAATGACTACAAAGCTGATTATCAACAAGATTTTAAGCCTGAAGAGCCAAACGCAAGCCTAGACCCCGCCGACGATGAAGCCACGGATTCAGAAGCCGAAGAAGCCTCGGAACGAAAAGTTACACCAAGAAAGACGAGGAGAAAGAGCTACATGGACATGAGGATAGATATGGACCCAGAATCCAGACGACTATGCGTACCGTCTTCAGGGTACCAAAGCCAAAACCAAAGTTGCTATTCATCATCATCCAACAGCCCAAACGACACATTCGGCAAAGAGAAAACACCGTATGATAGTCAGAAGTACGCGAACTATCTCAAAGACAACCTCTCATATCACACGGCAACAACAACATCATGCTCATCGACCTCATCAGGTCATAACGAAGAGGATAAACGACCATATCAGCTCAGTCGAAGTCAAACTAACAATGAGAGAGTGCCGTACACAAAGACACGGTCTAATTACAGAGCACGATCGGTGGTGGCACAGCTACCTGATATGGAACCAAAACTGTCGAATAGTACTTCATGTCAATCGATTAGTGCTAGGGCGGTCACGGATGAGGATTTGGTAAGAGATTTTGAGGTTTGGAGGGTTTTTAAAGTCTTTTAAACAACATTTTTTAAAATTTTTGGGCGTGGTAAAAAAATGTTTGGGGGTGGATAATTTTTTTGGTTAGCATGGTGAAGAAAACGTTTTGAAAAAGCTTGGGCAACTATTTTTTAGGTAAACTGAAGAAAAAATTTAGGCGGGGTAAAAAAATTTTTTGGGGGTTGATACATTTTTTTCAAAATTTTTAATTTTTTTATTATTTCAGCACTTGATTGAAGAACAAAAACGACAAATTGATGAATTATTGCGGGAAAATGAAAATTTGAAACGGGCCTTGGCTGAACATCATGGAAGCCATGTGGAGTTGAATGTAAGGTTTTGTTACCTAAAATTTATTTTTTTTAAATTTTTTGTTTTATATTGTTGTAGGGCACAAATGACATTTATTTTCGAAAAAAAATGTTGGAAAATGGCAGTTTTTAATTTTTTTGTTACCTAAAAAATTTTTTTTAAAAGGTTTTAAAATTTTTAATAAATGGGGGTTTTGTTATATAAACTGACACACCTTGTCATAAAATCTTAAAAAATTATTTTTGTTACCTAAAACCTTATTTTTCTTGAAAAATTTTGTAAAAAAACTTTTTTGTTGTCTATTAGGTTGTATAAAAAGTAATGAGCTATGGTTTTTTTGGCGTTTCTGAGTTCAGTAGCTCATTACTTTTTATACAACAAATAAAAAGTAATTTTATTACCTAAAATAATTTTTTTTAAATTTTTATTATGAACTATTATCTAAAACAATATTACCACCCCTAATGCCCACCCAATTTCAGGCCAGACCCCTCTCAAACCAGCCGTTCACGGTCCAACTGTCACCGTTCTAGTCGAATTTCCAAAATTCTAGTTCAACTTCATAACGAATAGGATAATGTATAATATTAATCATAATATGTTTCACTTAACAACTCACTTTTCGTATTAATGTCGGTGCTTTCGCATGCAACTGCTACTGTATATTATTGTACACTACCCGGATACCTCTTGAAATGAAAAGGAAAAAAACAAGCTTTATATTTATGTGATGAGTTTACTGCCACAGTAAACGGGACTAATGTTTGTATAAATAAAGTTCTAAACTTATCATTTGGTACGTGTTGGAAAGAAAGTTATTGCGGTTAATATTATATTGTAATAGGGGTTGAAGTTGGGTTCTAGAAGTTAGGATGAGGGTGGAAAGAAAGTTCTTGCGGTTTTTTCAAAAATTGAGCTTTGTAAAGAAAGTTCTTGCGGATTTTGAAAAAATAGGTTTTGTGAAGAAAGTTCTTGCGGTTTTTTCCTTTGTTGTATTATAGTAGGAGTGGAAGTTGAGTGCAAGGAGTTAGGATGAGGGTGGAATGAAAGTTTTTGCGGATTTTGAGAAAATAGGTTTTGTAAAGAAAGTTAAAGCGGTTTTTCAAAAAATCAGTTTTGTAAAGAAAGTTAATGCGGTTTTTGGAAACATAGGTTTTATAAAGAAAGTTCCTGCGGATTTTGAAAAAATACGCCTTGTAAAAAAAGTTTTTGCAGTCTTTCAAAAAAATGAGTTTTGTAAAGAATTTTCTTGCGGTTTTTGAAAAAATAGGTTTTGTAAAGAAAGTTCTTGCGGTTTTTGAAAAAAATCTCTGGCTTTTATTTGATATACCAAAAACAAAACAATTATAATACACTCGAGATCTTTCATCAAGCATCTGTACAAAGTTAATAGAGTATCAGTTATGTCTCTGTAGTTTAGTATTTATCGTTTTTGTAATTTACTGTTATATTTGTGGGATTTGTCCGCTTAGCGTTAACAACACTCAATTATCAACAAACTAATTGGCTGTTACCGTTGTAGATTCGCGTGTGGTACAAGCACTGTTTTAATTATGTCTGCAATCAAAATTTAGTAAATTCTTGAAAACTTTTCTTGAGGGGATTCAAAGTTATAGGTAGGTTAAAGGTAGACCAATGATTAGGAATGACGTAAAAATTAGCTTTGTAAAAATGGTTTTACAAATTTTATATCAACTTTAAAAACCTAAAAATTGATGATAAGGGTAAGCCTAAAACTATGGATATAACTGTGACTATGCCTGTGGCTATGTCTATGGCTATGCCTACGGCTATGCCTATGGCTATGCCTATGGCTATGCCTATGGCTATGCCTATGGCTATGCCTATGGCTATGCCTATGGCTATGCCTATGGCTATGCCTATGGCTATGCCTATGGCTATGCCTATGGCTATGCCTATGGCTATTCCTATGGCTATGCCTATGGCTATTCCTATGGCTATGCCTATGGCTATGCCTATGGCTATGCCTATGGCTATGCCTATGGCTATGCCTATGGCTATGCCTATGGCTATTCCTGTGGCTATGCCTATGGCTATGCCTATGGCTATGCCTGTGGCTATGCCTATGGCTATGCCTATGGCTATGCCTATGGCTATGCCTATGGCTATGCCTATGGCTATGCCTATGGCTATGCCTATGGCTATGCCTATGGCTATGCCTATGGCTATGCCTATGGCTATGCCTATGGCTATGCCTATGGCCATGTTTATGGCTTAGACTAAGATTAAGAGTAAAGCAGAACAAAAATGAACGCTTATGTTAAACTAGGGCTAAGACGAGTAAGCTTCTAAAGATATACGTGTATGTCTTGTGGCTTCAAAATTGAGTTTAAAATTGTATGCTAGATTAACATATTTAATTCGAAAGAATACATTTGAATTACAAAGAAATGGAAAATTTTGTTGCGTGTTTGGAATTGTAGTTTTTTGAACTTTTATTTATTACAATGACTGTAACATTTTACACGACGTAATATTCATTAAAGCATGGTTAGAGCTTAGCTTTTATCTGACGGAAGAGGGGCCGATCTGTTACATTGTTTAGAATTATAACAGCGGACTGAGACCTGAAGGGGGCGGGGGGTTTATAAGGCCCAACCAAGTCCTGGCTCTAAAATTAAGGCTTCGGAGACTCAACTTACCGGAAAAGTACCGTACATGCCTCGCTCAGAATCAGCTCAAAATTTTTAGACGAATTCTTTGCACTACCAATAGTACACATAAAAAATTTTAGCTCACGCTTTTGAGTTTTCAAATTAAATTATTTTGGTTTCCCGCCAATTTGGCAAACTTGGCATTGTGTTTCAAGCACTTTTTTCGACTTTCCAGTCAAGCTGCGGGTACAAATTTTTTTTAAATGTTGCAAAAAAAGATTTGACTTTATAATTCTAAAGCTCAGGCTAAGTATAAAGGCTCTAACTATTATATTAATATATGGCTAATTAGAGGGCAGTAGAAGGGCGTTTGTAAGTAAAAACAGGTTCCAACTCTTTTGTTACTTATAGGTAAAAGACCAATTAGTTAAATTGGTAATGAAATTTAGCCACTAAAAATTGCACTTATTGTTTTGGCGTGAATTTACGTGTTTTCACGATAACAGGGTAGTTAACTTTGTTTGTCAGTGTTTTTTTGTGCTTGTAATTAATATTATGACATTTGTTCACACTAGAGCTTTTTTGACTTAATTTCAGTTACTTTATATTACTTTTGGTCATTTTCTTAATATTTTTGAAAAAAAAATTATTTTTAAAACTAATATTTTTATTTTTAGGCTTATATGAACTCCAGTAATGACAAATTTGAATTATTCAATGAAATTGGCTTTTCAGAGCTTCAGTTTATTATTGATGACACATATGACTATGCTGTTTTTATAAATACGTATGGACCTTACTATGAGCTGATAATGTGTATTTTATCAGTAGTTTTAAATATTTATGTCTCTATTAGATTTGCAAATACTAGCATGTTCAGTAAGAATTTTAGAGTCAGCGTGGTAAGTTTTTTCGTTTATTGCAAAGCCGTCGTGCATAACTTGGCTAGCCCCAACATTAGTCCTAGCTCCAAGTCCTAGTCTTGAGCCCCAGCCCAAAGGTCTAGCCCAGAGCCTTAGTTAGAAATGAGGAACGGGCTGACCAAATTTTTCCGTGCCTGAAAAATGGGTTTGAGCCTGGTAAACCGGTTTTTCATGTCTAGACTTAGTCCAGAATTCTAGCTAGACATGAGGAACGGGCCGGGCTTGAGCGTGAGCCCCAGCCCTAGGCCAGAGCCCTAACCCAAATTCCTAGCCTAGAGCTCCTAGCCGAGCTTTAGACTTAGCCACAGTTTTTTTAGCCTTGTTCCCAACATTTTACTTACTGTTTTAGATAGTCCTAAACATGGTAACATCAGTAATAACAATAAACCGATCGTTAAATTGGCTAGTACCAAAACACTACTACAGTGTACAAGATCAACGTTATATTGGTGCTATGTTAATGTACAGCTTTAGTTTTATAGCCATGATGTGCAGCTATAGCTTTGCAGCCAAATATTTTATCATAGGCTACGAACGACGTGTAGCCTTTGCTCAAAGATCAACATACGAACATGCTACATGTTGCTCAAAGGCTTTCTTGGGTGCCTTTAAAGTTATTGTGTTCTTTATCATTGTTAATATTGTAAAAACATTTGTGGTGTGGAAAAGTTGTAACCATGTGGCGGATGTTTGTTTGAGACGGATTTTTATGTTTGACGAGAGTTTTCCATCATTGTTTTTGGCTCATATTACTATCACTGCTTCTTTATTGTATGGGGTTAAGGTAAGTAATTCCAGTAGTTGCAGAGAGATAAAACTCTGGCAATGATAATGGATAAACTTAAGACATACAAAAATATACTGAATCGCATTTTCCAGTAAATGATTTGCTATGAAAACCTTTAGATAGACCAACATTTAGAAAGTTGTAAACGTCGTTAGCGGAGAAAGTCGAAAAAAATGCTTAAAACACAATGCCTGATTGTGAGCAGGGCACGTTGGGTGCTTTTTTTGTTAGGTTAAAAACAGTTCTTCATGGTTACAGTTTTTTGTCGTAAAAGATTGTTTTGTACGGTAAAGTTTGAGTACAAAAACACTTCAGATTATGACATAAAAACTGTTAATCGTTGTTGTTGTTCAACCTCATTTGCTCGATAAACAAACTGTAGTTGTCTATGTCTACTAATCTGTAGACACAACGTGACATTGTCTTAGTCAGTAATGTAAGTAATATTGTATGAAAAAACAGTCGTACTTACAAAACTGAATTTGTGGTATACCAAGTTACAGAATGAGTACAAAAAGTTGCAGTAAACATTGTTTTTAAAAATAATAAAACGTATTTTAGCTGTTACATCGTTTCAATTAAAATCAATAATGTACTGTAGTATTTCAGACTTTCTATGACCTAAAGTATCGCTCGTTAGATATCAGGAAGAATGGCGCATCATTAAGTGAAGCCTACGTTGTTACTGAAATCATGAATGTAGTAGATGTCATGCGTCTTTTAACTTTTGCTTACTTTCTTGTTGTTCTTGCTGGAGCACTTGTGATCTTTATGGTGACAACAGGTTACTTTATGGACTTGTTGCATGAAGACAACACTTACTACAAAGCTTTTGTTTCGGTAAAAATTTTTTTTTAACTCTCCACCCTACCCTACCCTACCCTACCCTACCCTACCTTACCCTACCTTACCCTACCTTACCTTACTCTTATCTACCCGATCTTACCCTATTGTTTTCTATCCTACCCTCCTTTTATCCTACCCAGCCGCCACTTTTAATACCCTTACTCAAACGCAAAAATACCCTACTTTACTCTGCACTTGATTACCATTTTACCTTATCTTAAGTTACTCTGTACTAGATTTACCATTTTTTTACCACAGACATACTTTAGCCTTATCTTTCTCAACTCTACATTACATTAACATTGTGCCTTTCTATGTACAAGACAAAACACGATATACTTCAATTTTAGTTTGAGTACTTCCTGATAGTCAACTACAACTTTTTCTCAACCTTTGTCATGATATGGTGCTTCAAACCAATACGAAAGTCGTTCCTCAGCGACATTGCGTGTTGTGTTAAGATTGAATGTGCTACAGTAGAACCGGTCAACAACTCCTTGATTTCCGATCATACCGATATTTACTTTGAACAGCTGCTTGGAAATTGGGAACGAGTGCTCAAAGAGCATGGTTAAACAAAAACGGTAATGGCACATGGTTAAACCCATTATTTTTGTTTGCAATTAGTCAGCTTTAAATAGTAATCATATCATCATACCTATTGTTATTGGTAAACATATCGTTATTTAGTTGTATACATGGTATTGTACACTTGAACTAGACTTAAACGTGCCATATCATATCGTAATATTGTACAACTATTATATATCAAGTAGTCTTATACGGGTTCGTTTTTGATGTTGTCACGCATGTACCTAAATTTAGAGTTTTTTATTTGTACTATAGAGTTCGTAGTAATACATTTAATTTTTATAATTTGTTGCGTAATAAAGTATTTTTTAATTATTTAAATAAATCGAACTACAATCAAAATAAACATTATATAATAAAAGGTTGAGTTATCGATAATTGACATATCTTTTCGACCTTTTCGGTGTAGTCACAATTACGCTCATCGATCTCTCACCAGTTTGGTCTAATGCATTTCCACAGTTCATCGTCGTACCTTGTTCTCGGTTTATCGGCTGATTTCCTACCAACTAGAGTTCATTTAATCATCTTGTTTTTATTTGTACTGCTTCTAATCTCTTTATTACCTTAGTAAGACAAACGTATCGCTTCGAGCTAGATAGAATCCGTGATCGCCGCGAATTAGGTCTGCCTTTTGGCACAATCGTTTTCGTGCTGGGATCTACGGACACCCTGAAACGTGTAGATTACTCAATACAGCCTCGAGATGCAACCCGTGTTAAGATATGCTGGTTTTTGTGTTTGCATAAACACCTAAACTCAGTGGAACTTTTGTATAACACGTTGCTCGGGCATTTTAATTTGATCGTTAAACTGAAAGATTGTTACAGAAGAGTTTATTATACAGGAGTCTTATTGCAAACCATTTTATGATTAGACCAACTTAACATGACACGCCATTTGGTTTTAGTCTATGTACAATTCTGTGTTGAAATAATGTCTCGAACTAATTCTAAATTTATGAATTTCGTGTTAATTACTATTTAAACTAATTTTGTATTCAAGTTGCGACTGTGCAAAAACTATACCGGCTAATAAATAAAAAATTATTTTCAAAATTACTCGACTGTAACATTATTTTCAAAAATTATTAAAAAATGAAAAGGAATTATTTTACCGACCAACCTAACCAGGAATACAAGCAATTTGCCTAATAAACAAGCCGAATATATCTTGTTATGCCGAATTTAAAAAGCTTTATTTTTAAGTTGTTATGCCTAACATAGTCATCTTTAATATGACCGCCCTACAAAAACATCCTTGGGAACCTTTTAGAAGTATCAAGGACTACTACAAGATGGCTCAACAGACGTAATATTGAAAAACGAACGTCTTACACGCTATGGGATTGTTCTTAGTATGTTTAGCGGACACTGAGCTTTCAAACTTTTCATGTCTTGTTCTAAATGCTCGAAGGGGTTAATTAAAAATAATTTTTAATTGTTGGTTGGGTGTCAGTTTACGTTTTTTTATTAATCTCCGTGTAATACTAATAGCATCGGCAGAGCAAAAGGAAGAGCACGGCATATCGTCGGTCCTCTGCCCTCTGTCTGAGCCATCAATATAACTACAGTACGTTAGTTCATTTTGTTTATCACCATTTTTTTGTTTTTTTTAATTGTTTTTTTTTGTAATTTTAAATTTTACAGAAGATGGAGCTGCCTATTAGTGTGCAAGGAGAAATAGCAGTTAAATTTGGTAACAAAGACATACTGAAGTATATAGATTGTGTAACAGCGTATATGACAGCTTATGGAGCGTATTATGAAAGACTGGTTACTTTGTTTTGTATCATACTAAACGTTTATTGTTCTATACGCTTTGCCAATGTAACAAGTTTTAGTAAGAACTTCCGTGTAAGCATGGTAAGTTCCTTATTTTTAAATATAGTAATTTAATTAGACAGGCACTAATAAGTTTAATTTAACTATTAATATGCCGTTTAGAAAAGACACAACTTTTCTGACGTCCTTATGTTGTAAACGCAATAAACAGTAAACTTTACTAAAGTGACTTCATAAGTAAATTGCCAAAGTACTTTCTTTGTCAGATCAACAAGTTTTAGGATAAAACTTTAAAAACAAAATCATCAAATTTTAGATTATAATAAACATAATGACTTGCTTCATCTCAGTTAACCGATGCATAAACACTATGATGCCTCAAGAATGGTACTCTATAAACCACGACAGTAACTATCATTTTGCATGCCTTATGTACACATTTAACTTTGTCTCAATGATCTGTAGCTACACATTTGCTTTGAAATACGTCATGATAGGTTGTGAACGTCAGGTTGCGTTTAAGTACCGAGCAACATATGAACATAACCCTAACAGTCGTAGGGCGTTTCGAGGTACAGTCAATTCTGCTGTTGCTTGCACTTTGGTTAACTTATTGAAATCAGGCTTAATTTGGAGCAATTGTAATGGCGACACGGACTTTTGCTTACGACAAACGTTCTGTTTTGATGACAGCTTCATATCATTTATGTTGGGGCACGTTGTGTTGTTTGCATCTTTGTGCTATGGAATACAGGTAGGACTGCAAAAAAATTGCCGTCCACTACAGTTGACGTTTTATTTGACGGCCTTGATTTTCCGGCAAACGGTCAAGTCCACAACTCATTGATCTGTCCAACATACAGTGGAACTACTGTATAACAAATCCCTCGGAGATTTAAAATTTGTTCGTTATACAGGATTTTCGTTATAGAGGAGTTCGTTATACAGGAGTACCACTGTAATAACATTTTCAGACATTTTACACGTTACGAAAACGAGCAATACAAATACGAAAAAATGGGTCAACATTATCAGAAGCATTTGTGCTAGATGAAATTCTAAACGTTGTTAAAGTTATGAGACTGCTCATAGTCGCATTTATAATACTATGTATGGGAACTAGCTCTGGAGTTAGTGTGCTAACATACGCTTACTTTACCAATATATTTTGTGAAGATTCTGTTTACTACATTGCATTGGTTCAAGTAGGTTACTTTAGTTTTGCAGACAAAAAAATTTTGTATAACTAACACAATAGGCTCAGCCGAGTTCGTATTTTACCCTTTTGAAAACAACTTTTTAGTTTGAGTATTTGTTTGTGGCAAACTACAACCTCTTTACAACTATTGTTATGATATGGTCGTTCAAACCAATTCGTAAAGCGTTTCTACAGGACTTTTGTTGTATATGTAAAATTGCGAATACTAGTGTTACTTCAGTAAAAATAAGAAATCCAGCTCAAGAAGCGGACCTTTACTTTCGACAGTTGACAGATGCTTGGAAGTGGTCAAAGACCTAATGGTTAGATTGATTCTTGAACAATGGTTAAACACAAAATTTATAAAAATCTATGAAACAATGTTTAAAGTTACCACATAAACAATGCTTGTAGCTTCAAACATTTTGTAACTTTTTTTCCATTGATCCGTTTTGCAAGCTGCGCTAAGTCCTTCTGAAAGAATAGATCGCGTTATCGTACTAGTCGTAGGATCGGAAATTGATATTGCCGGCTGTAGACGAGTACAAATATTACAAAGTACGAATCTCTGTAGAACGACGGTGCCAAATCTTAATCGTAAGTTTGAACATGCATTTGTATCACGGTGCTAAAAATAGTTCTATAACAAGGTAAATAGTAAATTAAAGCAAAACACAATTTTAAGTACAAAACTTTGTACTCTAAAAAGGTATTGCGTGTAAGGCTACCGAGCTAGACTTTCGACATATTAATTTTTGTTAGAAAAAAACACATTTTGCTACTTTTATAAGTTACAAAAATTGTTATTTTTGTTGAGTATTGGAAAGGTTGTCTTAACTGGTATGAGTTTAAAATACAGCTTCTGTATAACGAATCGCTAGGTTTTGTGGTTGCTAGAAGTGTACGTATCAAACCACTAACTACAACAAGTGTTACAAACTCCAAAAAACGTTTCAAACTGCAAAAATGTCAGCAGAATCAATTTTTTACCTTGCTCAATTTTAGGTTTTGCTTGAATTATATAATGGATTTGCCTGAAGACGTAAGGATAAAACTTTTTGGAGGTTTTGATGCTAAAAAGCAGCAACATATATTGGAAACTATTGACACGATAGCAAAACGAATTTGTACATATGGATTTTTCTACGAAATCGCTATGACAGTATTGTGCATACTTGTTAACGTCTACTGTTCAATACGGTTTGCGCATATTTCTAGTTTTAGCAAGAACTTTAGAGTTAACATGGTAAGCAATTTAACTTTTTTTGTTTTTTTTGGTTATGAGAACTACACAATAGAGACATTTTTTCTCAAGTTGTTGTAAAATACGCCTTGGTAACCGAAGTAAGTATAATTTCAGATAATAATAAACATGATGACATGTCTCATCTCCTTAAACCGAACTTTTATGATAATAATTCCGCCTTATTGGTACAACATTAAAAATGGCCACATTTTATGGGCAACCATAGTATACTCATTTAACTACATTTCAATGACTTTCAATTATGTATTTGCTATCAAATATATTATGATTGGGTATGAACGTCGCTGCGCATTCAAATATCGTGCTACATATGAACATAATTCACAAAGCAAAGCGGTATACCAATGCGCTTTTAGCGCTGCCTTGTTTTCTGTTTTCGTAAATTTATCAAAATCAGCTTTACTTATGAGTCATTGTAAAGAAGACATTGATTATTGCTTACATGTCGCGTTTACATTTGATGACAGTTTTCCGTCATTGTTTCTTGGGACGGCGATTTTAATGTTTTCTTTGGGTTATGGAATTCAGGTATTATTTTGTGAACTTTTTTCTAGTTTTAGACTGTTTGTAAGGTTGTTTGTGACTCTACGCTAGACTATAAATGTACGGCTTGGCCCCTTTACAGGTCTAGTGTAGGATCATGCCAAACCCAGGCCCCAGGAGCCTAGCTTAGGTCTCGCAACGAAAGATTTTACTTTCAATTATACCAACGCATTTTTTTGTATTTTACAAAAA